TCTTCACTAAACCCATATCTATTTTGCAAGATTTGTTTTGCTTTCTCTCTGACGATCTCTTCTTCTAAACTTTTTGGAGGCTTGGTTATTGCTATTCTACAATTACCTTCAACTAAATTTATAGTTTTATTTTTCCCACTTCTCTGATTAGGTATCAATACACCTACCTGTTCACTGCTAAATTTAAAACCATCCTGAAGGTGTCTGCAAGCCTGATTTTGCTTCTTATCATCGGTAAGGTTTTCAAGAAATTCTGAGGTATATTGACTGAGATCAGATATACCCATCTTAGAGCTAAGATTGTATTTTTCAATGATTTTAGTTGTAATGGCTGACATGATTGAATGTTATAATAGGTCAGATAGTTTATGAACAATTCTTTAGGTTATATACACTATGGAAAATATCTTTTCAAATGAAATTAATTATGCTTTTTTCCTCATATACTCAGAAAAAAGAAAGTTTATGTCTACCTACAGGGTAACCGGGACGTCGATTTGAAATTTACTATTATATAAGATATAACGAAAAAATATAGCCTAGAGATAGAGGTCCAGGTTATATTAAGATTTATAATTCATTTTTCTATTATTCAGTATATCTATCCAAATAAATTCTGGCACGATTCAACAGTTATAAGATATTTGTGATATATATCCAGTCTGTTTTGTAATATTTCGGGTGGTGGTATTACTGCCAGTTTCTATATATTAAATAAGAAGGCTGTGTGATTGGAACAACCATAATTGATATGTTCAGATATTTCTGAGTAATTCGATAAATCGCTAACATGTCTATATCCATTGCGGATTAATTTACGGAATGTTGGTCCATTCTGATTTATCATCCAGTCAGTTAATAGGTTAAGTACTTTTTCTGGAGTTTTTTTCATTTTGTTTACGGTATATATAGAGCATGAGAACATATTGTTTTTGTAATATTTTTTATCTGAAATTTTATATTGACTATATATGGAAACGAAAAAACCTCCTATCTAAGTCTTCATCCATAAAACTCATCTTATTCACCTCTTTTTATCAGAATTAGATATATTTATATAACTTACTATAGATATCCATTTTCTTCGAGTTTCGTTATACTTTTTTCCTATTCTTCACCATCATAAATACATGTATATGATCGGAATTCATCATCATCTTCATACATCCGAAGCTTAATCTCCATACATATCAATTTTTCTCGCCTGGACAATTCTATATATTCCTCTGGATCATCCCCATCTTTTCGCGCAAAATCGATTATATCCATATCTGCCATCATTTTATCTTGGAATATCTTCACTAAGTCTCTATCCTCTTTAGTTATAGTCATGAACTTATCTGGGTCTTCGCCATATTTAATCGCAGTTTCTCTTAAACGCACCTTCCTTTCTGCTCGGGGTATATATCCAGGTAGATATGTTTTCGATTGGGTGCTAGCTTCTTCATTATTGGTCTCAGGCTTATCATTCACTGATGAGGCATAGCCTCGAATCTCTGGTTCCTTAATGATCTTAGAAGAAGGTTCTGATTTATTATCCACGGGTTCTACGTATTCGATCTCAGGAGTCATGAATATATCAGTAGTCTTAGATAACGAAGCAACTGAATATTCCGATTGACCTGTTATATAATCAAAGAGATCCTGGGTCATATTAGTAACTGCTGGAATAGGTACGGGTGATAAATCCTTGCCTTTTTCGATGCAATCTGTGGTTAATGTCTCGGCTATATTTTTTTCTGGTTCAGGGGATTTTATTTCTGGTACGTAGAACATAGGTATATCTGTGGATTTATTGGCGAGTATCTCAGGTTGAGGTGCGTCAGAAAATTCCTCGATAACTCCTATTGATTCACGCAATTTAGCTACAATCTTGGATTGGTCAAGGATATATTGCCACACTCTCTTTCCACCGCCAGCACGTTTATTTTCAATGTTAATATGTGTAAATTTTTTACCTAATATATTATTACTAAATGGTTTCTCACCATTAGCTTCACACCATGCCTGATATTCTTGATATATTATCATACGACTTTGTATCTCAACTCGATCCTCAGACCATAGCGAAATACAATCAATTATAAAT